ACGCCGCGGGCGATTGTGAGCTGTGGATAGGTACATCCAGATAAAAGATACAAGATACGAGATACAAGATACAAGAGTGTTTGCCGAAGACGAGTGAGAGTGAGCAGCGTCGACACGAGTGAGAGTGAGCGGGGTCGACGGGTGCAGCGGTCAGCGGTGGCAGAAGCACAACCACGCACGCGAAGATCATCAGCCGCGTGATCATTTGAGTTGGAGGGCCGCGCCATGATGCAGGGCCACGCCGAGCTTGTCAGCACTGAACAAATCCTTCTCACTTCGTGTTGCGCTTCCCGCTCGCGGTGAGGAAGGAGGCGTAACTTAAGGAAGATGGGGGCTTAATGGTCGAGGGGTTAGCTCCCTGAGCTGTCACATGGGGAGCCGTGTTCGAATCCCGGCTGCTCCCTGGGCCCCTGAACGCTAATACGGCCGATACTGGCGCTGGCGCTTCACAAAAAGGGTGTGACGGCGCTGAATCTCATGGCGAGCAGGAAAAAACTAAAGGGCCCGGATAATGGAACACTAGATTCAGCAGCCGAGCACCAAAACCCGGGTGCGAGGAGGAGGTCAGAAAGCCTTCTAGACGCAGGAGCTGCAGGCGAACACTAGCGACCACCGCGTCTGCTCTAACGCGGGCTCCGCGCCCCCGAATAAGCGTGATCCCCGACTAATCCGACCGAGTTGTTGATGGCGTCAGTGGGGCTTCACGACGCACTCAGCTGCTGGAGCTCGTGCGTCGCCCGCCTTTCACCCTGGCGGGAAGGACGGGCACCGTGGGGAATCGAGCCCCGCGTGTCCGGCTGCTCAGAAGCCCAGTTGAAAGCCTGCTGCTGGCACCCTGACTGTTTAGACCGCCACGCAGTGGGGTAGGTCGAGTGCTTTCGCTGTGAGGCACAACGACATGAAACCAATTCCTTCTGGGCCTCTAAGCTCCTAAGTTTTTGCTTTCCCTCAGTTACATATTTGTTGGGCGATGCCCTTTATGCTTGTCAAAGCTAGCGTAACGTAACGTTAAGCTAGCGCTAGCGTATCAAAGTGTAGCATAGTATCAAGGCGTACACCGCATCGCACGCCCTCTACTGCACGACCTTGTCAACTCAAAAGGCACTCACAACCGCTAGATGCCACTCGCAGAAGGGTCAGGGTACCATTACGAATACCACCACTAGATGTCACTCACAAGACAGTACAGCTGCGGTGACGTTGGTGTTGTTAAGTATTCCGCCAGTGAGGTTGTTCAGTCTAGCAACAGAAGATGTGCATCCTGCAGGAAAGATACACGGTGTGAGTTGCGCTTTAGTGGCGGCGAGTGCAAAGAGTACAAAAAGGGAAAAATAAGCGGGGAAATAAAGAAAGCTAATGCGGACAGGCCGTGGATGGTGGCATGGGATGGGATGGATGAGATGGTGGAGGGGAGAGGGAGGGATGTGGTCGATTGTTCAGCAACGTTGGCTTCCACGTGGGGACCCAGCCTTCAATCCCCGCTGGGCCATGGCCCCTGAGCACTAATATGACACTTGTCCAGTCGCTGGCCCTCCATAAAGAGGTACATGGCGACGTGCATCGCGCTCCCTTTTCTTAAGAAAGTGTGGGTTCGTAGATGTATAGTGGAAAGATATGTAGTCTGAGAGACAGCAAGAAACGGTGATGGGATGGGTAACACGAAATTGGTGCAAGGGTGAGACAGAATCAACGAAAACAAGTGTGAAATACAAAGACGATTCTCACCCATGATTACCACCGGCCTGTCTTCCTTTGAGCTCTTCCACCTCGAAACCTCATTCTGGACGCAGCTCAGATTATTCAGCTGAATTTCCGGATCCAAAAACATAGTTTCCTGGGGAAAGAAGAAAAGCAAATGGCAGCATCGTGTTGGGAAACAGTCTCAAAGACATTGACAACGGAGCACAAATACGTAAACATTGACTGATCACTGTGCGCAAACAATCTTAGAGTCACGTGCCCGCTGTCTTAGCGATCCCCGAGCTCAACGCCGGAAGAAAAAAAGAATGATGCTTCGGCTGTTCTTTTGGGCAAGGGATTGACGGACGTGCACCAGTATAGAAAGCAGCAATGCATCATCAGTGCCGGTGACGAAAAATCTTAGGGGTTAGCGCCACAGATTGTTGCCCTGAACATTCTATAGCTAAAACACGTTAATGGAACTTAGAATAAGTCTACAGCACGAAACGGGCCTCTTTTTAACATTTGTGTGAAATGCCCATGCCCCTAGCTCGACTAAATTCGAGGATAACGCGAGGTCCGGCACCGGCGTGGATCGGCTGAGGGCGCTGGATGGTCAACCGGGCCGCGATCGTTTACATCGGTGTCAGTTTCATCGGGTTTACACCGGTGTCAGTTTCATCGGGTTTACACCGGTGTTAGTTTCATCGGGTTCATCGGACGCAGCCGGTACAGAGCGGTGCGTTTGGTCTCCGCAATCCTTTGTGAAGACGGCTTACGTCAACAAGTTGAATGCAGCCAATGCAAGAGCGAGTGCGTTTCAAATTTCAGTTGTCATTTTGACTATTTAGGGAGTTCATTCATACCGATCAAGTGTTTTATTCAAGCTGGAAAGCATCAACGACTAGCGATAACTTCATAACAGCCTCCCTGCAACGCAACCATGACGCATGTAGCAACCACACAGCCACGCGCTACGGGATAGTGATCTCACCTCGTCTGTGTCGTAATCAACAAAGCCGACAAATGCTGTGCCATGGGAGACAGCTAAGGGTTGCACCAGGTTACCCAGAGTCGTAGATTCTACGTTGCAGGCGACGACCTTTACCTGTAATGAGGAAACTAGGCCTTCCGCTTCATCATCATCATCGTCATCGTCATAATCGGCACCGTTATTAGCATTGCCATCATCATGACCATCACCTTCTCCATCATCTTAAGCACCATGATCATATCGTCATAATCAGCATCATTGCCACCACCACCACCACCATCACAACACTTTCATAATAGTAATGACCATCCCAATCATTGCCCTCATAGTCATCAGCATCCTAGTCATCACCATCGTCATCATGGCCATCATCATCATCATCAAGCTGTACTGAGGAGACCAATTTGTTCACATTTGGAAAATGCGGGCTTTGTGTTTCCACATTTTTAATCCTAGCCTCGTGAAAATCTTTGCCTAATTTTCAGCCGACAAAGTACAGTGGGTCATCGTTTTGTCCTAGTGTTTTGCGACTGCTTCACGAAACACTTCAATGCTGGGTTGGTCTTGTATGTTTGTCAGCGTTAAGTCTATTCCATTTGGCAACCGTGTCAGGGCAAAAGAGCAGCGATATGACGTCAGCCAACTGCGTTATCTGTGACGCTGTTGGTGTCTCACGGAATCCGTAGTGTTTTTATGTGTCCGCCTGAAGAGAGTGATGGGACTGAGGTATGTGGGTATCGGGACGTAATACTCGCTAATTTTGCAGTGTTCTCTGTCTGTGAATGGTGCGTTGGAAGATTCGGAGTCGTTCCAAGCCACCATAGAGAAGATCGGTACGCATGTCATTTACCCTGTTTACATGGGCAGCTGTGATTCGAATTAAGCCGGGACCCGTCCTCGATCCGAACTATCCGGCCCATGTATACACTCACGCGCCGTTCCGCTGATTCGAATCGTGCGCCGGAGGAAATCCCTTCCCGTGAGAGGATCATCCGTTCAGGAAGGGATTTCGTCCGAAGTATCGGCCGTCAGCTGTCTAAACAAAAAAAAAGAAAAATGCCTGGCGCACGTAGTTCTGTTCATAGCCATTTCAGCTTTGTGCGGTGTTACCGCTTTTCCACGGGTTTTTAGCTATTGCTCGAGACGGTTCAAGTCCAAGATGGTAAGGGAAAAGAGAAGGAAGGTGAAGTTGACATCATGCTGCTAAAACTACTCTTATTATTGAGGGCCTTGAGTGGCTAGCAGCACAGAAATGCTCACGTAATTTAGCCTTGCTAGGCGCTTGATCTATGCGGACAGCAGGCGTCGACGGTGTTTGGTGCTATCTTTCCGCCTAAAGGTTAGATTAGTTTACATCTGGGGCAGGCTCCATGCTTCCAAAAGCCAGATGGAGGTAATATGGTTATTTTATATAGCTTTGACTTGTTCTCATTTTAATTTTTGGATTGCTCAAAATTCTTGCAGAGAATGCATCCAAGTTTCGTTCATTAAGTTAATACCTTAAGTCCCCAGGAGTGTTTTTGCAGATGTTCCTTAAATTAGGATGCTGGTTGCTTGTCAGTTTAATTTGTGTGAGAAAGGTAGATTAAAAATTGCTGCATGATATGACGGATGAACAAATATAGATCATTGCACTCAGCTCGGAATGTGAACTTTTATAATGGTAGGACTGAAATCGCCCAATGATGGGGTCAAAACAGCAAGAAAGCAAATGTGAACACTGGATGAAAATAGTTGTCGTCATTACTCTGCTAAATCCAAGTTTGTGTGTTCCATGTGCAGGAAAACAGTGCATAAACTAACACCTAACATGATGGCACATGCTGCATGGAGAACACGTCTGTGTTGCATATCATCACCTGTTTTTGTGCTGGTGATTAAATATGTCACCTTGGTGCTTTTTTGTGATGGGTGTCTGCAGGCCACGAGGTAGGTAATTCAGCTGTTCAACAATTCTTGCAGGGAGTACCAATAGTTTCTTTCGTTAGGTGAATACATAAATGCCCCAGGATTGATTTTGCAGACATTCCTCCTGTGACTTGAACATTTGGTTGACCACCTATTGGCAGGAGGGATGTGCTGGATATTGGTGACTGGCTTGTCAAGGAAATATGAAGTTACGTCACACTGGTAGACCAACTGGCAAGGAAGCGGGGGCTGGAATATTTGTTTTTGATGCAATTAGGCTGTTTGTTGCTTGTCAGTTTAATGTGTGTGAGATAGGTAACTCAATAATTCCTGCATGATGCAAAGGATCAACAAATATAGGCAATAGATCATTGCAGTCAGTGCAGAATGTGAACTATTTTTAATGATGGGACCAAAATTGCCCAGTGATGGTTCCAAAATGTCAAGAACGCAAATGTGAGCGCTGGATGAAATTAGCTGTCATCAGTACTCTGTCAAATCCAGGTTTGTGCATTTCATGTGGAAGAAAACAGTGCATAAACTAAGTAAACCTAACCTAATGCCACATGATGTGCAGAGAACATCTGCAGTGCACATCATTACCTGTTTTTGTACTGGTGAGTAAATATGTTGCCTTGGTGCTTTTTTGTGACACATATCTTTGCAAACCATGAGGTGGATAATTGAGCTGTTGCTATAATTAATCATTTGTTATGAATTTTGAGCCCAGATTGCTTTTGTCATGACAGCTCTGGGGCTGGTTCACGTTATGATCTTTGGACTGTGCGAACACGGCTGTTTGTGCCACCTAGCCATCAGTCCATATCAGCCAATGCTGTTGACTGCAAGGATATCAAAGCAGTATTTCAACCCTAGTATGTCAAGAAAGCAAATAGCTGCATTCTGACTTGCCAGTCCATGCCAAGTCTAAATGGCAATGCTGCCCTCAGGTACTGATGATGCATTGGATGGGGAAAGACAACATAGTTACACAATTTTTGCCACAAACTATGTAGCATTCATGAGTCATTTCTGTAGCTTAGCTCACTGTTGCAGGCTGCTCATATATGCATTGGTGCGGGATTAGGTAATGTGTTTCTTGGGCTGCGCAAAGTAGATGACATGATGCTGGGTGGCATACTGATGAGTGTGGTAAGTTTGTGAGTGTCATTGGCCAATACAAGAAAATACTGATTTCGTGCTAGCCAGTTTCCTGCTAGTAAAAATTTGCATATAACACTGCTTATGTGACAGATTTGGCAGTGCTGACTGCGCAACTCCTGTGTTTCAAGTGCTATGGCTTGTGCTGTAACTACAAAGCCTATGAGTCCCGCACAGATCATTTTTCCAACGAAGTCCATCTTCCTCCTCGCCCTCAAAGCTGTCTCGCGCCCACCATGGCTCGTGACATTCGCCATCCATACGCAGAGTACCGGCTTTTTTCTTCTTGTTTTGTTCAGTTCGCCTCAAAAGCGCAGTTTTCGCCCATAACCCGTTCCTTGGTTCGAACTAAGCGGGATCGAACTATCGACCGTTAATCCGACGTAAAGCCGGTTTCGCCCATGTAAACGCCCCTCGCCGAGAGGGTTAACGTCGCATGATCCGTTCCGATCTTAATTCGAATTATCCTCGGCTGCCCATGTAAACCGGGTAATTGTTATCAGATGACCTGTTTTGAGCTGGTGCTCTCTAGTGTTATGGCGTCAACCAGGGGCACATTTTCGTAAGATAAGTGGTGCGGGAAGGTCTAAAAAATCGCGAAATATACCCCCAAAATAGCCAACAAACGGGTTTGCCCGGATTTACCCCACTTTCCCCCAGAGCTGGGAGAAAAAAAAGAGTGGATTCCATGTTGGAAGGCTTCCCCCCCCCCCCCAAAAAATAGGAATCTGCGCACCTGACATCAGCTGTCGTGATCCGCGAATCGTAGCCAACATCGCGGCAGTGTACAACCAATGTCAAATGGGCCGGAGGAATATCTGGTAAGCTAGATTCAAAGTACTGCGTGTCAGATGCCTCGCCGCTGGCTGATTTTGCTAACGATTTCTTAATTTGGTCATGTGAACGCAAGCCCGACGTGACGGTTACACCTAAGTGTGCATGGTTTTTCGTGACAGCTAATGGCGGGTCATTATGCGTTAGCTGAAGTGGCCAGCTTTTTGCCCTGTTGAGAACTGCAGTACGGTTTTTACGGCATTTAGGGTGACACCCCACATCCTGCTAAGGTGTGTCATCTCGTAAGTTTTAGCTGTGTGGGAGGCCCAGAGCAGAGTCGTCGGCAAACATCAGCGCGGACTGGCGGTAAGCATCAGCGCGGACTGGCTGTAAACATCAGCGCGGACTGGCGGTAAGCATCAGCGCGAACTGGCGGTAAGCATCAACGCGGACTGGCGGTAAACATCAGCGTGGACTGGCTGTAAACATAAGTGCGGACTGGCGGTAAACATCAGCGCGGACTGGCGGTAAACATAAGCGCGGACTGGCGGTAAGTATCAACGCGGACTGGCGGTAAACATCAGCGTGGACTGGCGGTAAACATCAGCGCAGACTGGCGGTAAGCATCAGCGCGGACTGGCGGTAAACATCAGTGCGGACTGGCGGTAAACGTCAGCGCGGACTGGTAGTAACCACCTCAAGGCTGGGTAAATGCATTCACCCCAGCAGCGAAGTCAGCAGCGATTCCCTGGGTACAGCCTGCACCGATGTTTTGCGGCGCTAGGAGCCCGTCTCTCACAATTGTCTTTTGGTTTCTCCAGAGGAGGCGTGAGTCTAGCTGTAGTAATCTAGCGAATCTAGAATCGGAATAAGCTGCATGTCTCTTCATCAGACTTGGAACAGGTAGCTGCATCGGATTTGCAGACAACGCATCGGACGGGGAGCCTCGCCTTCCACGAAAATTATATCCAGTATATGTGACGTTTATTTCTTATGCTCTGAAATCTCTAAAATCCCTGCGAGCATTTGACGCGCCTAGTCGTGCAAGGCATATGCCACGCACGCTTTTTCTTCGTATTGCTGTTCTCAACAATGCACCATATTCGCATTACCTTTCCAACGTTACGTGTTATTTGCTCAATACACGAAACTGTCGTTTTTCCCACGGCCTTAATGATACCCCTATACTCACAAGTCCCCCATTCAGATACCATGGCGGAATCTGCTGGCCCTATACATCCCTCATGGGGAGTACAAAGCTTCGCATGGAATGAAAGCATCGTATAGCTAGCGTTTTAGGTGTGCCGGTAGTGTGATGGTTTAGCTGCTCGTGTGGGGAGGAATGGTATTCAATTACGATTCACGTGGTATCTGCAACTTCCTGCTAGAATGGGAGGAAAGCGAACCATATAGCTTTAGTAGCTGCATGCGGCGTGATAACTCAATAAGACGCACGCACGCAACGCATGTACGCACACACTTGTCACAATTTTCGGTAGACCTGGCTGAAATAAAATGGCTCGACACGGGTTAGCGCAAACTTGCCTTTCGATTTTCAGAAATGAGCCGAACCCGACTTTGGATCCAGGTAAGAAGGACTGGTGACCTGACAAAATCTGGGGCTAACGGACTGGATGAGATGCGATCTTGTTATTCCAGAAATTCTGATAGAAAGAGCGCGAGTTCTTGTCACGTTAAAACTTCAAATTCGTAGATATACCGTAGTGCATACAACATATCACGCGCTCATTCTTCAATACGCTCAGCATAACGCCTCTGATATCTGATGGAGAACAAAACAAGCTAAAAGATCAACTGATGAAGTCTTCTTTCAGTGAGGTGTGCACTATTGCAGGCAGATGTCTCGGCAAGCAAAGTATGCTCACTCACGGTGTGGCCGGTCTTGTTGATCGCTAACAGGTAGTCCCGGAGGAACCGGGCACCACGCCGGAAATCGCTAACTGCCAGTCCCTGTAACAAAACATTATTACTATGACGTAGGTATGAAAATAATAACACTTCGTTTTTATGTAAAATCCGATAACTTCGAATCGCAAGCCTTTGAATACTAACGTTTGCACGCAAATTTTCGCTTCGCAAATTATGGTATGCATGTATTTGTACACCAGTCGTATACGCAAAGCTTCCCCTGCCCTCTCGTAGACGTGATTCCTCGTATCACATTTTGCCGCATACGCATTTCTCAAAATAGCATTTATTCGCGCTGTACGTCCTAGCACACGCATTGCTTTGTGCACCGCTTTCTTCGGATTCCGTTCCTTTTTCCGGATCCAGACTTTTCTCTTTAGGTTCATGTGCGTCATATTTCTTTCTATGGGATCGTTTCGTGGCATCGTTTTTGCGCGCCAGTTTTTTTTTTGTTGTTTGCAATTCTTCCCATGAAACATCTGACGTAGGACTTAAAAGTGTTCATATTTTTATATCTTCCCGCATTCTCCGCTGTTGATTTTCCGTCGATCTCGTCTTCAACTGTTCCTCAGCCATACAACCCAGACGTGCGAGGGCTCTCCTACCACCTCATCGTACTCATGTGGTTCTCGCTCCCTGTAACGACCCTGTGGGGCTGGTGAATGGGGTGATTTTTTGGCGATGTACTTACGTGCAGTTTTGCGCACAAACTTTTGCGTACGAAGAACTCAGGTCCAAAATGGCTAACCGCAGGTGCACCATGCCATCAACACTTACATTTTTTAACGTGTGATCAGTGACATTCGTTCTCATGGCAGCTGGCGTAGCTGTCATTACACATACCATAGGCTTCACTTGACGTAGACTGCTCATTTCGTATGGACGGCAAAAAAACATGCATAACGCATATTGTCAATGCAATTCTGTTACCAGCATGATCTGTTATTTATGGATCAAAGGAACACGCGTCCGTTCCTAAAACGGAAGGTGTTTCTGTTTTTAGGAACCATCGCGTGTCGTTTCACTGATTTGTTCGTCATCCATCTTTTATACACACTTTTCATCCGCATCGGTGCAGTCTGCAAATTGCCGCCAACCTCAACCTCAGACTGATGTGATGGTTGACGCGCCGTAATTAAGACACACACGGGCATTGCGACTTAAATCTTGACTCTCGTGTGCACTTACAACACCTGCTCACCTCGATGGAAAGCATTGGGTACTGGTGATAATTCACGACGGCATGAATTATCAACTGGAATAGTTAAGAGGCACGACCAATCCCCTGCCTTACGCACCCCGACACGGAGACCGCTATGCGTCATTGGGTTTAAAAAGCACGATTGGTGGAACCATTCCTATCACCTGGCTGGCGGAACCACATTTCCACACCCTGATGTCCCGACAGTCGTCACATTTCACACCGATCTTAGCAAGTGTGACAGTCGCGCTGAGTCCTACGAAAACGCGGTCTGCTGAGCCGAGCAGGCTCGACCACCGTGATGCAGCGCGTGCCGACCGCGTGGGCTTACCATGACGTCGTACATGCGGGCTGCCTCAACAGCCGCCTGGTACTGGATCGGAAGTTCCCACCGCCCGGATCCGAGAAGGTTTCCAGCAGTTACAGCCAACGTATTGGTGGAGTTCATCAACTTCTCTATCTGGGTTTTTTGCCTGCAACGTTGAATGATACAGAGCGCAGTTGATTACGCACCGTGTTTCGATTCGAGCGAGTGCATAAGCCGAAGAAGCGGATGCTGGAGAAGCGTCTTACAGTCATGCACTAGACGGGATGACGGAGCGCTGTGCAGTGCTATGGTTGCTACAACCGCCATCGCTAACTGCCATTACTTCTTGCTACAAATGCCACTATGCTGTCGTTGTTTCATTGCGCCTTAGAAAGCAAAATGCGAAAGCACAAACAGCGGCTGGGCCGATGGACTAGTTTGAACTGATTGTTTGATGTTCTGGTTGCATCGGTCCATTGTCGTACACAAAAATGTTCTGTCAGTGTGTGAATCAGTGTGTCAATCAGTGAATCAGTGTGTCAGTGTGCGTCAGTGTGTGATTTCGTAGATACATGATCGACGGGGATCTCTATGTCGTGAGGGGTTGTCAAAGATTCCTTGGATAGTTGGTGAGCCCAATCATTCGCCGTGATACCTCTGTGTCTTGGAATAAAAAAAGATTCTGTCCGTGCCCTGCGTGTGTTTCATATATGATAGCGACTGATGATGTTGACGAGGAGGTATTGGTTGAACTCTGGGTCAATAAGTGATTGAACAGCCGCCTGGAAATCAGCACAGATCCCTGTTGTCTTCGCTGCATGGGTGTGTTGTTGACTATGTTATAACGCGAGGGGAACAACAAGTATTTGAACCAAATAAACTGAGGTGCCGTCCGGTAACCGACATTGGTTACGGTAAAGTTCATTACAGATGACTTTAATTCGGTGTGGTCATTATCCTCCGAGCCGTCCGTGTAAGCAAAGCAACTTTGTTCAGGGCGACGTGGAGCCGTGGCAGCGGGTCGCTAGATGGCGCTAGATGTACTGGAGCGTCATACTCAGCGTTCGAGCACTAGATGGCGCTGTCGTCCGCCAACAGTGAAGAAGAAATGCCTAGCGGTAATGAGTCAAATAAATCGTTTGTCATGAAATTTAGGAGAATCGGTGAGATGTAACTTCCCTGTAGGAGGCCGTTCTCTCGATGGTGAGGGTCAGAAACGGTAGAGCTACATCTCACACGAAATGGTCCGATACCAGAAAGAAATCCAGTTAGGTTATAACCTAAATGGCCTTTAAACCCTAACTGATGGATCTTGAAAATAAGTGCAGGCTTAAAGACCATGTTGGGCGCTCGTCTAATGTCTCGAAAACAGCCGTCGGATGGTGTCGATTTATAAGGAACATTTTATGTCAGCTTCAGGCGGAATTATGTGGTCTCTTGTGCTGCGATTTTGTCGAAAACCACATTAATATTTTGAAAGCAGTAAGTCTCGTTCTGCAATCCGAGCGATCGGCTTTGCTAACCTCCATTCAAAACGTTTGCCTAGACAACTTGTAAGTGCAATGGGACGATAATGTGGTGGGTCTTTGGCGTCTTTCCTTGGTTTTGGCGGCGAAATTATGATGGTGCCGCTCCATGCCGCAGGAAAGACTCGTAATGACCATAAATGATTAAAAACCGTTAAAATAAATGAAGCACATTTTTAAAAAGATTACGGAAAAATCATAAGTACAACTGATCATTGCCTACCGAGACGTTGCCGACGGCTTTAATAGCATTTTCTATTTTTGCATTGCAATAGCATTTTCTATTTTTGCAATAGCATTTTTTTCAGAAACGAAAATGATAGTCTTCTGTTTTATAGGAAGCAAAAAAATTAGCATGTAAACGAAAACGGACTTGTTCAAGACTCACGAAGCCTGGTTGATAATTTCCGGAAGAACTACACTGAGCAAGACTTCCAGCAAGAGCGTTGTTGACAAGAGGTGTTGTCGAAATGCTTTGGTTGTTGATGCGTAAAGTGGGCAATGAAAAATGCGTTTCCCGGAAAGTGCTCGAACCAGTCCCCGTAGCTGATATAGGGGAGAAGCAGCGGTGAACTGCTCAATGTGGGTTCGCTATGAATGACGTTTGGCACTCATAATTCGTCTGGTTCGAGCTCGTTCATAACGTCGGGCAATAAGGTGAGGTGTATCCTGATGAGGTAGATAAGGTTAAGATAAGGTGCAACGACGAAAGCAGCGGAAGGCACATGTCCGACGTGCAATAGCCTTTTTGACCTCGGTCGTCTACCATGGTACTGGGACGCGGCGCGATTGGGGTTCAGTCAGTGACATTGATGCGGTCGCTGCAGCATGAATGATATGTGCAATAAGGCTAATACCTTGTTCTGGTGATTTCCAACAATCTCAGTTGACATAACAAAGCTCCTGAAACTTGGCCCAGTCCAATTCTCGTAAATTTCCGCGGATTATGAATCGCGAAACTATGCCATCGGTTGAATCAAAAGTGGTGTAAGACTTCACTGGAAAATGGTCGCCGTTGAATACATCTCTCTCATCAGTCCAACCACAGAAAGCCCCAATTGAGGAAGAGTACAGCGACAGATCGATGGTATTTTCCGTACCAGTGGGTGAGAGGTTGTAGGTGTTACTTCTTTTGTTTGACAACCCTAAGTTATGACTGTCAATTAGGTCTTTAACCAAACGTCCTCGGCGATTGACAGCCTGGGTGCCGTTGCTCAAAGCTGGGCTGTGACTTTTAAAATCACCGAGGAAGAGAAAAGGGCTTTAAAAATGAGTGACGTGGTTAATTACCGTGACAGCCCCGCGTTATCGTAAGTTGGCAGAATGTGCACAGAACACACATCGATGTTGCGGCCATGAATACGCGCAGAACATGCAAGAACAGCCTGTGAAGGTGTTGTGAGTGGAAGGCGCTTGTGTGTTATGTATTTTTTCTGTACACCACCACCCCACCTCGGCTACGCTCACCAGTTTTGTCGTCACTGCCATATAGGGAATGATTTGACATTGTGAAGTTATATGGATCGTTAGGATGAAACCAAGTTTCGCATACGGCAATAACAATGTGAGCTAATACTGCAAAAAATGCTTTCATTTCAGACCATTTTCAAATACGACCGCGACAATTGCACTGTAGAACGACGAACATTTAGTGGCGCTTTGACCAATCCCCACCGGTTTGTGGGAATCGGCCGAACGAAACTGACCGAGGCCGGCCCATGGCCACTCTCACAAGGGGCGGGACTGGTGGTCTTCGCTCGGGCGTGCTGTAGCGGGTGTTGTGCGGGGGGTAGGGCATGTGCCGTCCATGCGGCAGCCAGAGGGACCCGGCTGCCGACCGTTCGTAGCTGGAGGGCTGGAACGCCGGGTGGCCTGGGACGGGAGAGCACGGAGGGCTGCGCGTCCGAACGCGAGGCCAGGGTCAGCTCAAGGGAACAATTGTGCTGCGTTTGTGTGTTTGATGTCACTGAGACAGTCTTGACTGGAGCAAGAATTTTCAGCGGTAGTAAATGGGAAATCGATTCTGTTTTTGTACCACATGTCCCTAGCTTTACTTTTGCTGTTTGCGCGTATGATTCTGAGGAAGGCAAAAAGATTTTTGCCTCGACAGTGTGTCGTGCTTTTTGGTACGATGCACTTGTCTTGGTCTTTTCGCAGCAGATTTCTTTTTCTTTTCTCCATGTCGGGCACTGGGAAGAGTTGGCGCTATGGTCAGCACTGCCACAGCTTAGGCATTTTCGGGGCGATATGCACGCGGCCCCTCGTGAGGGGTCTCTCCGCACTTGAGGCATCTTGCACTCTGTTTGCAGAACTTGCTGCTGTGTCAAACCGTTGGCATTTAAAGCACCTGAAATGATTGGGTATAAATACCTTGGCTTGATATCTAGCGTAGCCGGCTGTGAGAGTCTCTGGAGGGCGGGTAGTTGCAAAAGTAAAAACAAGGAAGTTGATGTCCTGACGCTATCCGTTGCGGGACGTGGTCAGTCGACGAACACGACAAACGCTGTCAGGTCTGGGCTCAGCCAGAATGTCCTCCTCCGTCATGAAACGGAGCTCAGGCACGAAGATGGTGCAAGAAATACCTTTGGTGGTGTTTGTCACTTTGCAAGAAACATCTTTGGTGTTTCTTGCAAAGTAAAGAGAAATTTTAACTTTCTTGCCGCAGAATTCGGTGGTCTGGAGAAGAGAACAGGTTTGAATACAACTGGTTGTTTTGATTACGAGTGGCCCATTTGCTGGGCCCTCGATTTCAGGACTGCATGGATCACAGACAGCTTGAATTCGTTGCGATGGCCAAAAGACGTTGATTTTTCTGAAGGAAGCGTTCTAGTCACAGGGATGCACGACAACGAAACTGCGGAGTGGGTCAAGCATGGGCTCGGGGTTCTGGCGATTGCCAGCCATGGTCGAGCGATAGTCAGCATCACAGTGAGAAGGCCCAGTGGTGATCAAAGACGAACAAGAGTCGAGACTAGACGGACGGAGACGGGCGCCGCTCAGACCCCGCAGTGGTGGTGTGTGGGCCATTGGACTCGGTCTGAGACGCACGGGGGTTATCAGGCAAAATGGTAGCCGAAACGGGGCTAGCGGCACTTCCGTCGGCTACATCCAGGAGGGAATCAATGTCAGAAGAGGCTGAGTTCGGGTCCGTGTCGACGTCGTCCTTATCGCGCTTATCACGCTTCCCCGTGACAGGGGAGCGAGAAGAGAACAAAAAATGCAAATGAAAGGTGTGTGTTTGAAAAGAGTGCGAACGGGCAAGCAACGAAAACGACGATGAGAAAATATAATTTCTTGACAGAAAGCCGTGACAGGAGTAACCACTCTGTATCAGAAGAGACCCCCCAGTCGGGCGTAGCCAGCGTTTGGGTCGACTGCTGATGATGATTGTTGTTTTGACTACCTCAAGGGATCGTTTGTTGTCTTGTTTCTTGAATTAGAGCCCCTCCGACCAGAAAGGATCATTTCAGGGCTATGAGATGAAGGAAAATGGTTACCGGTGGGGCAGACTCGCATGCACCTGGAGGGCCAACCGCCAAGCACTAACCCACGCATGCACGCTCGATACCCGGTCGGGGCCCTCTTCCCGCGGGGCTCTGGGCCCACTCGTGGTTGACGCATGCAGCCTGCCCCGCACAAG